ATCCTAAACATGTAGACACGCAACCTTTATTTATTTAGTGTTTCTTTGTTATTGTTTTTTTTTTCTTTGCATTTCCCATAAAATCATTATTATTAGTAGTATTATTATTGATATCTTTTTGCAAGTGTTTTACATTATACAGAGGAAACTAGTCTGCAGTTTGTCACTTTAAGACACGCGGGGTGCAGGTGGTATGCGCATTACGATTGCGATGCATTGTGTATTCAAAATTTTCAAGATGGCGGCGAAGGTCGAGAAATTTCGAAGGTTATATTCTTTAATTTTCAATAGATACAGTTCTTTCCTTAGATCGTTTTTCTCGTTTTCATAAGCTAATATTTGTTTAGATTTTTTCTGTGAAGAAAGACAAATCAATATTCTTCATTTCAATCTAAAACGTGGAGCCCGAAGATTCCTCCTGTAAGAGCATGAAATTTGAACCCGACTTTTCAGAAGCTATAATAGGCCAGTTTACAGTTGTGTGCTTAGTGTCCCAGCCTTTGAGTGAACGTGAGGCTGAGGTTGACCTTGTTTTGATTAAAAACCTCGATCCTTTTCTAATGTAAATTTTGCTTAAAAATACTAGTTAGCTTAAGAAAGACATGATTTACATAATAAAGCAGGAAGGGCTGTATCAAAACAAGGTCAACTCCAGCCTCGTTTTCACCAGCAACTATGAAATGGGCTATTTCCATTATATTGCCCGTCGAAAGTAGAAGATGGTTGTAAGTGTTTCTACAAACCTTGTTCTACGCTAATTATTTATCGCTTCCCAACGCGCCCCACGTTTTGTGATACTTTTTCCGAATTGAAACCGGCATGTTTTCATGGGAAAATGTAGCCTCGCGAAGACCAATGTGACCTGTTACTGGAAGTGTTACTGTTGTAATCACAAGCTGATCACAAAATAGCGGGGCAGCGGCGACTGGTTCCTCCAAACAATAGCATTAGGTTAGCATAAAATGTTCGAAATTGGTATATAAATATGCTGATGAGTACTCTGATGTTGGAATGTCTGTTTTTGTAAGCATAATAAAATTAATTTGCAGTCATATGTGATTCCCTTTATCAGGTATAAAATCAGTAGGATAAGAATTACAGGTATTAAATTAAATGATACGTTTGATATACAGTTAAGCCCTGTGCATTTTGAAACCAGCCATCCTTTATGAAAAATGTTTTTTGGGAGAATCGCAAGAATAGTGCAGTGTAGAAGAAGAGTTTCATAACATCCACCAAGCTTGCACTTTACTTTTATTCAGAGAACTATGAACATCACTCTTGAGAAAAGAAAATCATAATCTACTTCCAAGATTGGTGTGTGTTGTTGTGAGGATGTTATGACTTTGTCAGTTTCTTGCCTAGTCCCTGTTTTATTCAGTGGTGATTAGCCTCTGTAGCAGGCATTTAAAAGGAAAGGGAAAGGGGTCTTAGGCACAAGTGAAATGCGAAGAGTGCACGACGAAGGAGGGAGTGATTTCAACATTCACCTGGTTGATGTTTATAATGCAAAAAACAATTAGTCTCCTGTATGGCACGCATTTCCCTCCCTCCTTCCCTGACATTTCTCTTGCACCAAGACCCACTTTCCCTTTTCTTACCCGTTTACACTGTTTAATATATATATATGTATATATATATATATCAAGCAATTGGCATATTTTGGTGGCTTTAGTTATAATATAAATTGCTTGATCATTGAATGTACTTTTGATATTGGAAAACCAAGGCTGAAAAAATGGTGACAAGGAAAGGAACTAGGAAAAGTGGAACAATGGGGCAGTAAAATCATGAGACTAAGAACCTGAATTAACTAAGTAAGCCTAAACAGATTCTTATATAAATAGTAGTTAGCCCAAGTTTACGCTATTTAGGTTTTTAAATGGGTTCATATTTTTTCATATTTTTCCTCATATAAAGTCTGCATACCAAATTAGAAGTTATGTGAGAATGGACATAAAAAGAGGAATGTATTTAAATTTAAACATTGGCATTTACATTGCAGTTGGAGTGATAAGACAGCTTTGTCTCCAAAGAAGATTCTAAATGTTGATTTATCTCTGCTCAAGTGTACAGAATTTTTTCATAGATTTCAAAAATAAGAACCGGCAGGTTTTTCATTAAGAGCCGGGGGCCGGAGAGTTTCCCCGGCTACTTTTATTGGAAAATAGAAGCTAGAAAAACAGGACCAAAAGAGATCCCTAGCCGTTTGATTCCCCGCCTACTTGTTGTATTTACCCGGCAACTTGAAATCTTAGTGACAACCCTGACTGAACCTGTTTCAAATTTTAGGCTAAACAGGTTTTTATATAGAGGGGGCTCATCTGACATATTTTAGCCTCACAGGTTCTTAAAATTCAGGTTCTAAGTCAGGGGGTTTTACTGTACTACTAGGATCCACCTCTGCAATAACTGGTAACCCAAAAGCCCTCTTTACGGACAACTGCTTCATACAGACACCTGATCAAGGCTCTGCCCTAGCAGAGCCCTGTGGCCCCCCGCGCCTAACTTTTGCTTTTGGGTGACTAAAAAATCTCAGACAAATCATATGCTGGGCAGCCTAGATTTTACAGGTTCAGAGAACTGCGCTCCTTACAGCACAGCTTTGCTCATAATTACAGACAGCTTGCCTTGTTCCCTGGAAAAAAGTCCTTAAACGTTCTGTAAATTAAGATGGACAATTTCTACGGTCCCCTCAGTGTCTGTACAACAGAGTTGACTGTGAGTATGATGAGACCTATTTCACCATATTTAAATTATAAAATTGGGGCGAGGAGAAAGGAAAGGGGTCTCAAGCTATGTTGCCCCAGCCCTGATTACAGGAGATTTGTAAACATATATGACTTTCACATTTTGAAGAGTTTTTATAATCCCAAAAAATATATGAGAACATGTGTTTTATACATACAGACACAATCATCAAACAAATAGTGGCTGAAGCTTTTAAAATTTATTGACTGCATCAGGCTTTGTATTCACAAATATGCCATTTTCAGTTTCAATGCAGTTATAAGACATTCTATGACTCATCCCAATAGAAAATATATAGGCAAATAAGGATGCTCAATATTATATTATCTATAAAGAGGACACAAGTTCATTGTACACAAATACTCTCTACTTTATTTACTTGTCTTCATGTGATGATGAATACGGATGTTAAGCAAAACGAAATGCAGACTTGGTGCCAACAGAGAAACAAGTCCTTGAAAAGATGACCCCCTCAACTTCGACTCTCTTATTACCGCTAGCAAGTGAACATCTTGCAATGCTGAATGACAAAACAAAATAAGCTCACTGTGTTTAAATACCGTGGCCGGGTATTCTGAAGAAGCTCCTAGTATTTTATGAGTATATCACAGCTATGCATATCAGTACTTCTTAGCACTAGTTGCACTGATTTCACGGTGAATTCAAAATTTCCGGCGAACCGCGGGTCTTACCTCCAATGCTTTTCATGATTGAAGCATTGACCAAAGCGTTTCTGTGCCGACTTTTCTTGGTCAGTTGCAAACAGGATGCAAGTGATTACGAACAAAACACACCAGAATATACACTTGTCAAAGAAATGAGACTGTTTTTTCCCGGAGAATTGGACAGACTTTCTTTTTCCAGAGCTTCCAGAAGAGATTCAAAGCAAAATCGTACATATCTACAGCGTAATTAACGAATATTCACTCCGCAGTCGAGATGTTCACTCCACGCCATCTTGACACAAGTGATCAGATTTTGAATATCGCCCGTGATGCTTAGCGATCGTAGTGCGCACACCTGCGCGGTGTGCTTAAAGGGACTGGTTCTCGATAATTCGCATGCGCGCCGTTTGTCTCTTCAGAATAAATTTGTCGGGTCAACACTAAATTCGAAATCGCCATTACCGGTACAATCATTGAAAATCCTTCGTTTTATTCGGACATCCGTCGCTTTGGCTGGTCTAGTTATACTTCGGTAGTGGTGATTAACGTGTGGTTGTGTCGTTTGACTGGTTGCGTTTTAAGAAGACGCAAAAAATAATGTTTTGATCATGGAGGTTCAGAAGAGCATCGTGGCCGTCCGGCAACAGGACGTTCTCAAGAGTCTTTGGAGATTCGAGAAGCTTAGCCTATCTATCTGGTATGGTTCTAGGAGTAGTGTGTGGCTTACGAAAAGTAGACACGACAGTTGGAAAGTGGTTAAAGGCCTGAGTTCGTTCAACCTTGATTTGATTTTTGACTCCGACCTGTAGTTATACCGCAACAGGCCGCGCGATCTTCACCGATCTGTTACACTTGAAATGTTCCTTGTATCTTTGCTTTACGATCGTATATGTTTAAGAATTGATATTTATAAATAAATTATTGCCTGAATGCTACTCGATAACATTTGTTTTCCGGAACACTGACCCGATGCAACGCGAATGAATTTGTTCATTTGCTGATAAGCAATTGAAATTTATGCTCAATTAAGGATAATCTTTATACTCATACGTTGTGTGTTTGTGTCACCGGTCAGGCGCTATTTGTAGGTATTTCTGGGTTTATATAAGGCGAACTGAGAGAACAGTAATAAGATGTTTGTTTACAAATTTTTTTGCCGATCGGTGACTGTTTTGTTAGCGTGGGTACGACCTCGTAAAAATACATTTTGGTAAATGTTTGTTTCAAAGCAGGACAGGGCTGTAAATCTTATTCTTATCGGCTGCAACATATATCTGAGGAGTAGCAAAGAATAAACTTGAATTATGGGGATAAATAAAATCAAACCAAATGCCCGGAAATACTCTCGCGTCGCGAACAATTAATTTGAATTTTGTAAATTTACTTGCGTGCATCTAACTCGCTTCCGATTGGTTGAAAAACAATCAGCTACTGTCAGAACTCGTACATGCGCATTATCGTGAACCAGTCCCTTTAAATTAGTTTGTAAACGTTAACACCCTCTTAGTATTGAAGCATAAGCAGCTGTTGTGCAAAGACAAGGAACTAAGCGTTACGGAGAAGAGTAGCAGGCGCGACGAAAGTATGAACACAACAGCTAATGGATCGAACTTCTGGAGTTGTAGCAGTCTGATCAATTTATCGGCAGTGAGAATTGGGGAAATCATCAGTTATAGTCTGATCCTTGTTGTTTCGCTGATTGGCAATTCTCTCATCGGATTAATCGTTTATAAAACGCCAAACATGAGGAAACCCATAAATTATTTGATCACAAACATGGCCATGTCCGACCTGTTGTTTCCTTTATTTACGATTCCCCCGCTACTATCAGTGAACGATGACTGGCTTATTAGTGGTCCTCTTGGTCTGGCCTTGTGCAAGCTTTATCTTTACTTACCATTCGTTTCCTACAGTGTGTCGGGTCAGAGCCATATTCTGATAGCAGTGGATCGCTTTGTAGCCGTGGTGTTCCCACTTCGTTCCCCATTAATTGGTCGCAAATGGTTTCCCTTAATCATTACCGCCACTTGGATCGTTGCCATGACTCTTCATACACCAATGTTGGTAAACGGCAAAGTTTTTTACGATGATGGCATGTTTTGTGGATATTTCTTGGAAGAAGCCTGGCCCAGTGTCGTAGCCTCTACTTACATCACTATCGTCCTGTTGGTCATTCTGTACTCCATCATCCTCATCAAGCTCAAACTACAAGCACCTCCAGGTGAACAGTCGACCAATGTCGAGAAACAACGCAAAAGAAGAAACAAAAATGCGTTAAGAATGGCTATTGCTATCGTCCTAGCATTTCTATTTTGTTGTGTGCCGAACACTACAGCTCGGTTAATTATGATGTTGAACAATTCCGTTTCGTATAGTTGCAGTTTTAAATTATTCACTATTTTCGCACATCTCATGTACATCGCAAACTGTACTGTAAACCCGTTTATTTGCCTTATTTTTAGCAGTAATTATCGTCAAGGTCTAAGGAAACTTCTAAAATGCTAAAGCAACAAACATGAAGGAGCATCATTTAAAAATCTGTCCGATGGATCTGAAGGGCTTCGTGAAAGCCAACTACCTCCACGGTAACGTTACAATGAAGTTTGATTTATAACAAACATTAATTATTGTTGGGACGCTTTAACGTTGTATTTAGCCCGTCAGGTAAACTGAGGAATATATTTAGCTTTTATCATAAAAAGTCAGCACTGTAAGCAAGGTAACTAATTTGTGGAAATTTGAATAAATTAATATTCCATTTTGCTTTACTTGATATTCATTTATGCCGGGAAATATATAAAAAAGTATTATACGTTTCAAAGCAAAACAAGAAAGATAAAAAAGTATGTACCTTCGTATGAATATTATGGAGCTCATTTTGGATAATTTATAGAATGTTTACAGATCTTAAAGGCTAAACATGTAATCAATAAACTGAAATGAAAAGGGATTCAGCAGTCGTCATTTGTAATGATCCTAATTACTTCAGTATTGACCGTAATGTCTACATTCGTATCTGGCCCTGTTCAAAACGCTTGTGGTGCGTCTAAATTATATCGGCATAACCAACAGCAAGAACAAAGCATAAACATTCGAATACGTTCCGACAGAGTTAGGGCTCGAGGTTACCGGTAAAGGGTTCAATGAATGAAATAAACATTCAAATTTTTTCTTTGTCCTTTTACAGTGTTGTACCAGTAAAGGCTTAAGCTAGCTTGGGAACGGTTGCGCTAAAACACGTTTTCTTTATGCTTTATGGCGACAGACGAATGAAAAAGATAGTAAATAAAATCGCATCTTCCGCTAACGGTTACGCAAATGACTTACAAACATAAATACTAAGTGACGCTTCCTTTTGAAGACAGTTAGATGTTCTTATTTTCGTCTATAAACTGCCCAAGTATACTTAGTGACCTTTAATGGAACCGTGAAAAGAATTCATTTAGGGCTCGAATACTAGCATTAATAAATAAATAATTTCATGATTCTAATACACAACTACTGATCTCAGTTTATGAGGCAATATGTTCAGTGTGATTGAGATATATACACCATTATTATATTATGCATTCAAAGTATTTCCTCTTTTCTGATTGGTTTAAATCATCCGGCTTATTTTTGATAACAAGCTAGCGTTGACCAAATTTAGAAGACGTTTCTGTGTTGGTGTTCCGGTATCACAACGACGTAACCAGGAGCCCATAACCCGGAGCGAGCAACTTCCGTGCGCGTCACGGCGTTTTCACCAACCTCGTCCCCAGGGTCTTCTCGCTTTCCAATATGGCGGCGGCAGGAGAGAAGACCCTGGCACACAGCGAACTAAAACGATCGCTGATTGGTGCATTCTGTTGCGCGTTCATACGTGCGCTCTCATTGGTTTATTCATTTCAAAACAAAGATGGTTATCCTTTGAGGGCTTCGAAGAGGCTGAGAAGTGCTTTCTTCAGTGTTTGAGATCGAAATGGTGGACAGAATTCAGGTCTGATTGTTCGGAAAACTGTGACTGTACCGTTGGAAGGCAAAGATTCGAAGATAGTGATATCTGAAATGGTAATCACTGGGAATATTATAAGGCGTAGAAGTATTGCTCGTGCTATTTGGTTTGTGTGTTCGATTCTAAATTACTAAAGATTTGTTTCTTTGATTCCCGATATGTGAAAGAATACTTGCAAGGCTTCAGCTTATCAATAAATTTAGCTGTCCGTTTGCAAAGGTTTAGTATTGTTCTGCCTTTTGTTTTCTTTGAACAATAGCTGTATGCATAATATTATTAATGTATGGGGTTATACGGAAATCTTGCATAATCTGTGCTTTGTCTCAGCAGTCTTTTGTCGAGTGAAACATTTTTTTACATTTGATCGTAACATGCATGGGCCTAACCTGGCCTTCTTTTAATGTTTTCCACGGTGATTTTGAAGGGGGATGAGGAGTGAGAGATGCAGATGTCGAAACAAAACTAAAAATTGAAGCCAAGATAGTGTCGATATCCTTTGATATTTTTAATCCTGACTTTTCATTTATTCAGTTTTCAGTGTCACAATGATGATAATTTATTATTATTTGCTCATTTCATTGGCTGTAAAATACAGCTAAATACAGAGACATTGGGAAAATAAACTGTTTCCTTTTCTCAGAAATGAAAAACTTTCATATTAATGTTTGAAGCTTGTGGGATTTCTTTCTAGTTGCAAAAATAAAATAATGAAAGCACATGATGTCTTTTCATTTTATCAAGTTGAAATCAGTGATCAGCCCATGCAAGGAAATTTGACAGTCTTGGATTCTCAATTCTACACCATGGATACTGCATTCTGGATTCTTTGTCAGTGGAACTTGGATTCCGGATTCCAATTATAAGTGGGATCTAAAGTACTTGACCTTTATTCCAGATTCCAAGAGAAAAATTTCCTGTCAAACCAAACCCTGTTAATTGAGCTTCTAATTACTGTAGGCTAAGTGTACATTTTGCTCTTGTCACTATATGCTTGAAAAGGGGGTTTGTGGACCAGGTGAAATAGTGACTGGCATTATAGTATTCCAAAACCAGGTGGGTATGATTATGAAGCAGCTATAATTCAGTTCTAAAACTTGGATTTAAAAAAATAAACTGCTTCAAAGGGTGCATATATCAGTATCCACTGAATAAACAAGAGCGGAAGGGGCCTGCAGCGTCTTGATCATGGGATTTTTCATGTAGGGATGTAAGGCTTTTGAAGTGTTGTGTGCCAGAGTCCCCAGTAGCATAGTGAGCTTTTAGTTGCCTAGTCACGGCCAGTGAGTTTCACGTCACGTGGTCCCATGTGAAACAGTGAAACAGTTTCCCTCCAGTTTGCCTAAGATACATCACTGAAATGAATTGACCAAGAAGGCCTGGGAAAATTCCACACAGGGACAAGGCAAGGCTTTTAGCTTGTTTAGGTGTTGGGCTGTAAGGTGGCAGCTGTTAGATGTGCTGGCTTAAATACTTCCAAAGTCTACTTAAAGGTGTTGGTTAGTCTTAGTCATAGTGTCTGTATCATAATCATATCATAAGAAATAATCAGATTAACCCAACTATATTTAAACTGATAATCGATTATAGTAGATTATAGATTTGTGACCCCTGTGTGCCACTTTCAACACTGAAAATAATTTTGCAAGCCGATGCTTATCTGTCACATAGTTTTAAAAACCAACTAAACATCATATAAACTACATTAAGAGCCCATCAAAAAGACACTTATTAATGTCCTTATTTGTCAACAATGTTTTTGTGAATTTTCCACAACAATCAATTGAACATTTGTATAAGCAATACTCACTTTGCTTTAGGTTTCTGATCAATGACAGATTATGAGCGATAATCAGCACACCACTACCATGTCATGTCTCAATTAGAGTACGAAATGGCCCATCTGACGAGCAAAGCATGTTTGACTTAAAGGATCTATTATCTCCAAATCAGATAAGAACTTTTACAGTGCACATGACTCAGATAGGACAATCAAATTTTTGAACAACTGGAGTCTAGCCTTTAGTCAATTTGCACATTGCAATGGCAAAGTGCAGCCCCAAGTAATATGTAAAATAAACCAAAGTCATGAGGGATAAAGAAAGGTTTTGCTCTAAAAATCAAATCTACTTCAAAGTGGAAAATACATTTTGGATTGCTATATTACAAACAATGGAAACACTCTTCACCTTTGCTAGCTATTGAAGCCGGGTTAATGCTTTTTTTTTACATCTGAGAGGTAAAAAAACCAATAATAACAGCATCTTAAATCCTCTATTAAGGCTCCCTCTCTCAAATAAGCCCTCCTTTTCAGTGGATGAAAGTTTTAACAATAAGTCCCCCCTCTCTTTTAACCCCCATTCCACCCCCCTTTTCTTATTCTTCACTAATAAATAAAAGACTATCAATCTATGACAACTGTAAAACTTTGTAAGGACCGATCCAGGATGGTTTATTCACCAGCTGGAAGTTCGGATTTGTTTTTGATCCTCAGCTGCTTGACCTCCAACCTTCTTGTACTTGGGCTTTTTCACTTGGCATTTTTTTTTTGTGGGGAACTAATGACAGCGTCTTTGCTAGATTAAATAAATATTGCCCGGAAGCATTGTGAACAGGGTTAGATATCAAAAGCCAATAAGAAAGTCTAGAAACTGTAAAGTAGATGAAGGATGACAATAATTTTATTACCTGTACCAGATCAAGTGACAAAATATCCAAACTGAACAAGGAACTGTTTAATTTTCAACCAAAGTTTCCTCAAATTATATTAACAAAATAGTGTTCTCTGGTTCTTGTTTGCAGAAAAAAAAATTGTTTTTTGCGTATCAGAGTTTAGTTAAAATGTGTACAGACAGAAAAACAATAGTCAAAAACCTCACGAAGATCTGTAACAAAACTGACATAACTTATCGTAGTATTCGGTAAAGTGTCTGCGACTAAATTTAATGCCTTGTTGAATTTCGGAGCGGAAGAGGTTTTAGGGCGTCATGACAAAAAATTTCCTGGCTTCAGAGGTGTGTTCTCGAAATTCCTAAGATGAAATAAATTGCCCTCACGGTTAGAAAAAGCTCCCCCTTTCACGAAAGAAGAAAACTGAACCTCTGGCACTCAGGGTAGGCAAAAAAAGAAAACAGTGAAAAAAGACCGCTATCGAGAAATTATTAAAGTTGTAGACAGTTGTTAAGTGCCGTGTACGCTAGAACGTTCAGGCTTAAAATAAATGAAGGTCATTGAACAGAAAATAAGATCGCTATATCATTCTACCGTATTCCTGTGGCTTTTAAGTGCATTCTTTCATATTTTTAGCTTCTCTTGCGTTTGCCTTTGCCGCCATTTTGTTTGTTTTTCTTCAGTCTCAAGACCTCGTACCCAGATCCTCTCAGTCTTTATCTTGGCCGCCATCTTGAATAAATTTCCACTCTCCGTGGACAAATCAGTCACGTGATTTCTGCTGTGTGCCAGGGTCTTCTCTCCTGTCGCCGCCATATTGGAAAACGAGAAGACCCTGGGGACG